CTTTCTCTCTTTCCTCTCTTTCTCCTCTTTTCTTCTCTTTCTCTTTCCTCTTTCTTTCCTCTTTCTCTCTTTCCTTTCTTTCTCTCTTTCTTTCCTCTTTCTCTTTCCCTCTTTCCTCTCTTTCTCTTTCCTCTTTCCTCTATTTCTCTTCTCTTTTCTCTCTTTTCTCTTTTTCTTTTTTTCCTCTTTCTCTTCTCTTCCTCTCTTTCCTCTAACTTTCTCTCTCTCTTTCCCCTCTTTCTCTTTCCTCTTTCCACTTTTTCTCTTTCCCTCTCTCCTCTCTTTCTTTCCTCTTTCTCTCTCTCCCTCTCCCTCCAGGTTAGGAGAGAGAGAGAGAGAGAATGAAAGGCAGATGGCGCCGAACGGGTGGGGAGAGCAGGACAGAAGGTAGAAGCTCCCGGCCGCCCCCCCATCACTTCTTCAGCCGAACAAGCAGGGAGGGGCAGGGAGGGGGAGCAGAACGGGAGGCAGCGGCTCCAGTGGTGGCGGCCCCATTGCGTCCTCAGCCAAACGGGCAGGGAGGGGGAGCAGGACAGGAGGCAGCGGCTCTGGCGGCAGCCACTGCAGCATCATCGGGGTCCCCGTCGCTGCCCCTGGCCCGGCCGCCGCCCCCGCCGCATCCTCAGCCACTTCGCCGTCTTAAGAGGAGGGCGCCAAGGCCGGGTGCACCATGGGCGGCCGCGCCAGCAACGGGGATCGCCGCCAGCCCCGCCGCCCTCGCATCCCAAGGTCTCCTTCTCCTGCAGCAACGAGGGCAGCAGCAGCGGCTCCCTGAAAGTGCCCGAGGAAGGTGCCACCGATGGGGCCGAGGTGGGGCTGGGTGGCGGAGAGCCCTGCGGCAGCCAGGCGAGCTTCATGCCTGACTGCCATCCGGCCCGGGCTGGGGAGACATGTGGCTGGTTCGGCTTCCCGGGGAGCGATGCTCCCGCTGGCCGCCGCATCAGCCATGACTGCCGCCCAGCACGGGGAGACATGTGGCTGGTTCGGCTGCCCAAGGAGTGGCCCAGGAAGTGATGCCCCAGCCGAGACTGGAACAAGTAAGCCGGGGGGGCGCACCACCTGCCCCGCAGCCACTTCGCGGCAGTGCTCCATGAACTCAGAGCCCGCTCCCTCCCCCCAGCACTGACCCTCTGTCTCCGGCTCTGCTGGTGCTTGGCGCCGGCTGGGCATCGGAGGGGCTGCTCTCGGGGCCGCGGTTTGCGGGAAGGCTGGCCCGCTCAGCGGAGGCTCGGGCAGGCCACTCCCAGCGGGGATCTTGGGGCTTCCCCGCATGGCTCCCCAGCCACGTGCGCCTGGGACGGGGCCAGCCAGGGAAAGGGACTTCCTTGCCGCCCTTCTCCCAGGGGGCGGGGCACCCGGGCGCAGGGCTAATGAGGAGCCCTGCGAGGGGGCAAGTCCCATGAGAGAGAGAGAGAGAGAGAAGTGCAAGTGCCTCTGTCTCTCTCTCTCTCTCTCTCTCTCTCTCTCATGGGACTTGCCGGAGGGCCGTGGGAGGGCCGCATTTACATAGAGCAGGGAGGGCTGTTCGAGGGCCGGATTAAACCAGGACACGGGACGCAAATGGCCCGCGGGCCGGACTTTGGACATGTCTGACATACGTAGATCCAGAGAGGTAGTAAATAGAAATTCCATCATAAGGTTTGAGATAAGCTGGATTCCAAGAAGAACCTGGCTAGGTTTCACTTACTCAAAGTAATAGGGAAAAAGATCTTTCCCAGGGCAATAAATGCCTAATTATCATTAGATACAATTACTCCAAAGGGCAAAGCTTTATTGATAGGAAACTGCATTGAAAGATTTCTGAAATCAGTAAGAGCTCATAAACCACTCAGGTATTTATTACCAGTGGATTCCATTCTGTCCACGAAGAAATCTTTGTAGGCACATTTTAAGGTTTTATTTTCAGCATGTAGCTTCTTTTTAACTATTACAAGCTTCTCCCCGCCATATGTTCATACACTTATGTAGAAATTGTATTGTACCCCTCTGAATCCTTTTTGAAGGTACAAGAAGAAAGCATCCTTACTAAGATGAAAATAAAACAAGTCTAAAGAAAGCAAAAGTTGTAATGTTAAAAAATATATATTGGGAAAACAAGCATGTTCAGAGCCACCTGTGAAGGGGTTTGTTTCCAGTGGAAATTTATTCTGTAATATTGGGATTAATCAATGCCGAAGCAAGACATTTAGAAGGGAGAGTAGCCCATCCAATGTTGCTGCACAAGTCATGATGGAGAAAGTACTGCTCCAATAAATATTCACACCTAAGGGCATTGCAAAAGAAATTTAGTTGGCGAATGTGAAATTTGTACAAGAACATTAAGGCCCTTTGTTGATGGATGAAAATGGGATCTGCGTCCCAGAAGACCATTAAAATCATGATGGCTCCTTGGTGCTCTCTGAGCTTGCTTGTTTTCTTGCAGATGTTTCATTACTCAAACTAGGTAACGTCAGTGCTAGCGATGAAAAGTCACTCGGCACTTGAGCAAGCATGTGGTCACCACTAAAAAGTGCACAAACGTATTTAAGATTCCAAATCACAGCTGCCAATTCTTTGGCTGGTGTTGCTGTCATACACATCAAGCCCTTCCCAAGAACCTGGGATGTCATAATGCAGGGGTCTCCAACCTTGGCAACTTTAAGACTTGTGGACTTGAAGTTGAAGTCCACAAGTCTTAAAGTTGCCAAGGTTGGAGACCCCTGTCGTAATATATTGGCATAGATTCACTGNTCCAAATCACAGCTGCCAATTCTTTGGCTGGTGTTGCTGTCATACACATCAAGCCCTTCCCAAGAACCTGGGATGTCATAATGCAGGGGTCTCCAACCTTGGCAACTTTAAGACTTGTGGACTTGAAGTTGAAGTCCACAAGTCTTAAAGTTGCCAAGGTTGGAGACCCCTGTCGTAATATATTGGCATAGATTCACTGCACTCTAGAAAGCAGAACTGTTCATTTCCAGATGTTCATGTCAATGTTATTTTATTTATACTGGAAATCGACCTCTCAAAAATCATTAAAACATGGAAACTCATTTCATTAGCTCTACTTCCTAAGTTAACAAATTCATAGCATTTACCATTTAATTTACACCAAAGACAACCCCTTTGATAAATTAAGCAGCAAGAGATTTCTGTCTGTTTGCTTAAAATTGGTTCATTAACAGAAATGGCCTCCACTGAACTACTGCTTTTTAAGATTTGAGGATCTTCTGAATTTTTTTTTTTTAAATGTTGGCTGAAAAATAACCAAGAAGAAAATCAGCATCTCCAAAAACAGAAATGGGCAGGGGGTCTAGGCAGGGTAACTCGCTGTGGCCAACTCACCATGGGACAAGATTTGTACTAATATTGAAGGAATGGTGGAATAGAATAATTAAAGGATGCAAAGGAAGGGACAAAGTGTAATGTGAATGACAAAAAATAATGTTTTAATTATTTTAAATGATTAAATTGAATTGTTGGATTGTCCTGCAGCGAGCTGTCCCATTCTGACAGACAGGACCCCTTTCAGACTATGAATGATTGAGGACAGAATGGTGTAGGGCAGGGGTAGGCAACCTCGGCTCTTTTATGACACATGGACTTCAACTCCCAGAATTCCTGAGTCAGCATAGCTGACTCATAAAAGAGCCGAGGTTACCTACCCCTGGTGTAGGGTTTCCTGCCTGAGCAGGGGGTTGGACTCGATGACCTCCAAGGTCCTTCCAACTTTTTTATTATTATTATTATTATTATTATTATTATTATTATTATTATTATTATTATTATTATTATTATTATTATTATTATTATTATTATTATTATTATTAGATGTGAAAGCCCATTCATTGTGTCCTTTTTCCCCCCTCTCTCTGGATTTTATTTTCCACTAAGGCAGACATAATATTAAGGACAAAACAGTGAAAGTCTACTTGCAATTCAATTGGTGTCAAACTTCAAGTGAATTTGGCTCTATCTGATTATCTGAAATGCTGATATGTTGGGCGGGGTCCCTTTATGTGTAAGGCTAATCAATGCATCAAAACAATTCTGCAAAATGGATTGGAAATACTTTAGGGCAGGGGTCCCTAACTCCCAGTCTGTGGACCAGTACCGGGCCATAGCATGCCAGCAACCGGTCCGCGCAAACAAGCAAAGCCCCATCTGTGGGATACAGGCAGCACACAAAACCATGCCCCCTCCGGTCCACGGAAAAACCTCTCTCCACGGAACCGGTCCCTGGTGCCCCAAAGGTTGGGGACCTCTGCTTTAGGGCACTGTTTCTCAATCTCATGCTGGCTAGAGAATTCTGGGAGTTTCAAGTCCACACATCTTAAATGGTGCCTGTTGGGGAATTCTGGGTCTTGCATGCTGTCTGGGAGACTTGTAGGAGCTAAAGTCCACATTTCTTAAAGCATGCTGATTGGGGAATTCTGGGAGTTGAAGTCCACACATTTTAAAGCATGCTGGGTGGGGAATTCTGGGAGTTGAAGTCCACACATGTCAATGTTGTTGAGGTTGAAAAACACTGTCCTAGGGGTTTTAAAAGTTTCAGCCCTTGCTTAAAATGCACGCCTGCACACCCAGCATCTCATAATATGGACACTAAATGAATCTCTTAAATAGCCAATTCCAAAACAGAAGATCCAGAGGTGAAAAGACCCCCTTCCTCCATGGGACATAACTTTGAAACCTGGCAGTGAAGCAATTGGCATAGGGCAAAAGGCTTTTTCTGAACCTCCCATCACTTTAAGTTGTGCAGAAAAAAGGACTAGGAGCCAGCAATATCTTTATGTCAATTCCCCTTCCCCTCTGTACTTCCCCAATGCCCTAGACCAGGGGTAGGCAACCTTGGCTCTTTTATGACTCGTGGACTTCAACTCCCAGAATTCCTGAGCCAGCATGGCTCAGCTTGGAAACCTCTCCCTTTCCCCTCAGCATGGCTGGCTCAGGAATTCTGGGAGTTGAAGTCCACGAGTCATAAAAGAGCCAAGGTTGCCTACCCCTGCCCTAGACGTATCTGCTGGGAATTGTAGTCCTTGTGCCCCAGATAGCCACCACCCAGGTTGGGGAATATGGGTTTGAAGCACAAGTAAGGCACTGCCAACTACACAAAATACTAAAGGTTTGGCTTTGGATCAGCCCTACTGTTCAAACACATCCTTCTATCTTCTCATACCTATATTTGTCCTCCCGTGCCTACATTTTTCTTTTAAAAAACTTTTTTTTTAAGAGAAACCAACTAAATCCAGCAGGAGAATCTTGGATGAGGCTTGAGGCCGCTCTTAAGCCATACTTGACAGTCCTGCTTTAGTCTTTATCTTGAGCTCTTGAGGATGTCCTTTGGGAGCAATCGGATGCTTGAGTTTCCTGAAGTCCAGCATCACAGTGCAGTCTCCAAAACTGGTCCACTCTTGCCTTAGACAGATGTTGACCTGCATTCTGCGCCAGAGACACACACTGGCCTCTCGGTTGGCGATTGTGAAAGCAGACAAACAACGGCACCCTTTGGAAACATCCTTTGCATTTTCAGGTCAGTCTCTGGACGCAGCGGCGGCCTCTTCCCACCTCCTTTGACAAAAATCCAGCCCTGGCAGCTGGCCAGGTGGGACGAAGAAGCGCCAGCCATTGCACCGGGCACTGATTTCCAGGCTGGCATTTTCTCCAAAGTTCATCGCAGAATACATTTTGGCAGCCGAGCCGCCTGGAAAACCCAAACCAGACGGAGGAGCAGGGGGAGCTGGCTGGGGAACTCACCTATTTTGCAGAGCCTGTGAGCCGGGCGAAGCAACCAGGTGGGGTTGGAAGCAGTCCAAAATCTAGGAGGCTTTTTCCCAAGGCATCCAGGATTTGGGGGATGGTTAGGCTGAAGCGGGAGCGAAAGAGCGAAATTCAACCCAACCCGCTCGTCTCCCTTACACACAGTCACTTGAATGCTGCTTCTCCATTAAGGACCGTTGCAATTCATGGGGGGGGGGGGAAAGAGGGGGGGCTTCGGAAGCCAGTGCCCTGCCTTCCCCAGCCCGAAGAGGGGTCCCGTTGAATCCTGAAGCCCCCCCCACCTCCCCGTGAGTCGGGGGTCTTACCCGTGGAGTCCCAGGAAGGCTTGCCCTGTTCCGTGGGGGGGGGGGTTTGAGAAGGGGGGGCGTCTGGCCTCGCCGCCTCCCCCCCCCAGCCCCTCTCTCACAGAGGCTCGCTCTCTCCGCTGCTGCTGCGCTCGCCCGGGCTGGCGGGGACCCCCTTGCCCGCCGCCCAGTCGCTCTCGATGTAGAGGTGGTAGGGGTCGTGCTTGGACTCCAGCTTGCGCGAGCGCGTGTAAGCCAGGATCAGGCCGCCGGCCAGGCAGCCGTAGAAGATCATGATCAGCAGGATGTACAGGTAGGCGTCGTCCTCGCCCGGCGGGGGCGCGGCGGGCCTGGAAGAAGCGCTGGGGCCGGGACCCCCGACGCCGCCGCGCAGCTCCTGCCACAGCCGGCCCAGGAGGCGCTGCAGCCGCCGGCTCTCGCTGCAGTTGGCCCCCGGCTCTTGCATGGCTCCGTTGCGCGCCCGGGGCTCCCTCCCGGCCTCCCTCTAGCCTGGCGGGCGCCGGGCAGAGAGACAAAGGCTGCAGCTGCAGCTGCTGCGCTTGCCGGCTTTGCAAGGGGCCGGGGGAGTCTCCCCCCCCTCCGCCTTTCCCCGGGTTAGGAGGAGGAGTGGGGGGGGGGGGGTCGAGCCAGGCTTTCTCCGCCTCCCGGAGGCGCCTTTGTTCCTTAATGGGAAATCCTGAAACCTGAGCTGGTTTGGGAGGCAGCCTGCCCCCCCCAGCCCCCAGGAATTGGAAGGAAAGCTGGGGGGACCCGCTTGAATGTTCAGGAGCGGAAGGGAGCCATCTGGGCTGGGCTTGTCCTGGGAAGAGGGGGGGGGTCTCGGTGGGAGCAGCTGCCGGCCTCGTCCCGCAAGCCGCTGGGACCCTGGTGGAGCCTTTTCAGGGAGGGCACGGCCTTTCGCTTCGCCTGGCCGATCTAAAGAAACCAACCAGGGTGGGTCGTGGCTGAACTGGATTGAGGAACTGTGCAGAAACTCCAGATCTGATCATCATCTTCTTCTTCTTCTTCTTCTTCTTCTTCTTCTTCTTCTTCTCCTTCTCCTCCTCCTCCTCCTCCTCCTCTTCTTCTTCTTCTTCTTCTTCTTCTTCTTCTTCTTCTTCTTCTNCTCCTCCTCCTCCTCCTCCTCCTCCTCCTCCTCCTCCTCCTCCTCTTCTTCTTCTTCTTCTTCTTCTTCTTCTTCTTCTTCTTCTTCTTCTTCTTCTTCTTCTTCTTCTTCTTCTTCTTCTTCTTCTTCTTCTTCTTCTTCTTCTTCTTCTTCTTCTTCTTCTTCTTCTTCTTCTTCTCCTCCTCCTCCTCCTCCTCCTCCTCCTCCTCCACCTCCACCACCTCCTCCTCCTCTTCCTCTTCTTCTTCTTCTTCTTCTTCCTCCTCCTTCTTCTTCTGCCATATCCGTTATCGGACGTTGGCGATCATGTTGGTGATCTTGTTTTTATCAGCAGCTGCACGAAAAAGTGCTGCTGAGTTTTGTCCAAACCAGTCCCTGAGATTTGGAAGCCACGATGTTCTTCTGCCTGGACCTCGTTTGCCTTCCATCTTTCCCTGGAGGATTAAATGGAGTATGCCGTGTTTTTCTGGCTGTCACATCCCATGTCCGAAATATTCTAACTTTCGTTTTTTAATTGTTTTGATGATTTCCCTTGGCTTTCCCAGGCGACTGATCACCACCTCATTTCTGATCTTGTCAACCCAGTTTCTACGTAGCAGCCGCCTGTCAATCCACATTTCAAATGCTTCTAGTCTCTTCAGGTGGCCTTCTGTCAGAGACCGACTCTCTACTCCATAGAGCAGGATAAAAAAAAATATAGCATCTGACAATCATGTGTCCAAAGTAGGATAATTTGAACCTGGTCATTTGGGCCTCAAGTCTGGGTTGATTTGTTTGACGGTCCACTTCTTTGTTCTCTTTGTCTATTCCCACGCATGATTAGGCCATGAAGACTCCACCTTCTGAAAGTGCCTGGGGTGTCTTTAAAATCAACACAAGTTCTCCACTGGGGAGAATATTTGGACTGTTGGTTTTGGGTCTTAGTTCTTCCCTGTTACAAGATTAGGAGAAGGCTTGAAACATTCTTCCCCAGCCACCTAAGATTTCTTTATGAAGATGCTGATCTTGTATTTAACTGGTAGCTGCCATTTTTATTTTGGGCTTTTATTTTATTTTTGTAAGCTGCCCAGAGTTCTTTGGATTGGAATGGCAAATATGATAAAGGATGGTGTTGGAAAGTAAGGCTTAATTGATTCTTCAGTACCATGTTTTTATCAGCTTCTTATAACTCTTCAAGTGGAGTTCCTGAATTTGGCATTCTTGCCTTTATTTCTCAGGACCTGACGTGGCAATTTACTAAGATCTTGTTCTTAGAATTTTAATTTAGTGGCAGTTATGGGTTTTATGCAGGCCAAAGTTGCATAGTGCAGGGGTCCCCAACCCCAGTCTGTGGACCAGTACCAGGCCACGGCATGCCAGCAACCGGTCCGCACAAACAAGCAAAGCCCCATCTGTGGGATGCAGGCAGCACACAAAACCATGCCCACTCCAGTCTGTGGAAAAATCTTTCTCCACTGAACTGATCCCTGGTGCCCAAAAGGTTGGGGACCTCTGGCATAGTGTGTCCACTTCACCCTTTTTTAAGATAGTAAATGCTATTAAACGTAGTAAGGATTGCTCTTCATATTTATCCGTTTTATTGATAGCCATCAAACTTGCGTTGGGGCTGTTTCATGTACTGCATATCTTGTCATGGTTAAGATGGGGACCTACAGACCAGCTCTGGCCCAGGGATATTGAGAGCTGTAGGTCTAATATAACCAGAGAGCGATAAAAGTTGGAGACGGCAACCTGGAGTTGAGAAACAACGCAGGAAGAGCCGCCAAACTTTTGGATGACATTACTCTTCAGCAGAAAATAGAGGCTTTCGTTTTACAGATGTAAATGTGTAGTATCCCCATATTTTCTTTGGGAAACCTTTTTTTTTTTCTGGATATGTCGGTGGGTAGAAGGGAGCTGGAATTTTTAGAGCACATGATCAAAGAAAAACAGGTCAGCTTGATCTGCTCTCCATCAATCAGTTCAGAGTTGTTCCACTCAAAACAAATAACCCAGAATGACCAAACAAGGCTCAAGCTGCAAACATCTTGGAATCTGTTTCTTGTAAAGGAACCACATTATTTCTTGAGCCAAATCAGGATACACAATTGTGAGTTTTTATTTTGTCCGGTTTCCAAAACAGCAACCGAGCCTGAAGCGGTTTCCACACTGGGTGATGAAGATGGATGATGGTTTGAGGCCACAATCGGCTCAGCAGGCTTCTGGGTATTTTTCAACTCCGGATGCCTTAGGTGCAGACAGGATTGCGTTATTAGCTGTACATTTTAGAGATGAGACCTTGTTTACAGCAAAAATAAGAGACGTGAACCAAGGACATGTTGACAAAAGTTGAAGGCAAGCAGGAAATCTTACTTTATAGATGCTTCAGGCATAGTTCTTTGGGAGGAGTGAGGCCTCTGAAACATTAAATACTCTCACTTCCACCTTTATTTTTATTCCAAAATTGCGCTGCTGGAAACTCAATGCTGCCATTTCCCACAGAACAATTACAGAGAGCTTTAAAAGCCCTTGGGTTATTTTTCTTCTTTGGTGAATCAAAAGGTATGAGCCGTCCGTTAGACAGCTCCAGAAAGTAAGTTCTGTGCATATGGGCAGATTAAACTTTCGTTAAGTTTTCAATCAAAATATCTTTCTACATCAGAGTTTCACCCCCATCTGAATGAGCTTGTTTGGCAGGGGGGAAAAACTCCTAGAGCATTTGTTGTTTCTGTAAATTAAGGGTTTGTGTTTGTGCTCTTAAGAGGCGTTTTTCTGGGCCCATGACTATATTTACTTGCTGTTTAACCAAACTGTTTTGAATGTTTCTATTTTCAGTCAATAGGAGGGGATAAGCATGCCCAGAAGCTATGTGAAAAATATTCCCCACGGCTTAAAAACGGGTCCACACGCACAGCGGATTCTGATCAGGCAGTTAAGAATAACCAGGATTTAATAATCGGTTGTTGCTCTAGAAACTGGCTCACCGGCACGTATACCTGGCAAAATGAAAAATTTCCCCAACTTGCGCTTTAAAATCGTCGTGTATTGGACATCGTATACAAAACTCCTTCATTCTCCAAACAATATCCAATTATTTTTCTTTCTTTTTTTTTAACCATAATATACACATTAAAGTATAACGAATAAAAGAAAATCTATTTTATAAATACTTTGGAGCCACCAAAAGGTTAACACAATGCAACCGAGAGCCACAATCTGTACAAAAATGGAAGCCACATACAGAAACGGATCAAAAGTGCACAGGAGGACAGCATCCCATCGTTGCCACGTTCTTCTCGGGTTTTTTGTTTCAAGTGTGAACTACTAGTAGGAATAGAGAAGCCCAGTGCACAAAAGACAAACTGTGGAATAATGCACACACCAATGCAGAGGAGACTGCTGCTCCCTCCCACCCTCTGTACATCGAGAATTTCCAGTTTTTAAATAAAAAATAGCAGACAAAAAGTTTCCCCTTTGCGAGCACTTTAAAACACAAAAGTTCCCGAGGCCACGTCCATTACTCGCATAGAAGAGAAATTCGTTTTAAGATGTTGTTTTATGTGATATAGTCAAAACATAAATTAAAATGCCCTTTCAAAATAAAACAACAACAACCAACAATAACCAAATATTTTATCTGTGGTGTGGGTGTGCTTAGAGGAAGCGGCGCATATATTCCAAAAAGCACGACACACTCTGCAAAAGCAGATGGGACGCAGACTAGCCACAGGACTTGTTTTGTTCCACCGATGTATATATATTTTTTAAAGGTAGTGAGTGCAAATAGATAAATGATGGCAAAAAAGGCCGGCTTAATCGTTGACAGTAATGCCGGCATTCTTCGTACAAGCCAAACTGATGCTAGACCTGGCCAAAGTCTTGTCTCCTTCCAAAAGACGGCTTGAAATGTTTTGATTGGAATGTCTTAATTTACTTCTGCTCAGCTGTGAGGATAATTTCTTTCTTTCTTTTTCTTTTTTTTTAGGCACTCTAAATGTTTAATACTACCAGCCATCTCTCTTTCCTCTTTCCTTGTGGAACACAACAAATTGAGAGAGAAAAAAGATAAATAAATATGAAGAGAATCCGTCCGGGCTCATCAAGTGGCAGTGAAAGCGGGGTTTTTTTCCCTTCTTCTTTTTAATGCAGCAGCAAATGTGACTTTTACAAGTACCAGGGATATCCTCTTGAGCAGTGGAAACTACGGCCAACGGCGCCTTTTTGTGGAATGAGCAATAAAATAAAAATAAAAATCAGAAAATGCAGGAATAATTTCATGGCAGAGACGGGCGGGACGGTGCCGCTGAGCACTGAACTGCGGAAAAGGAAGGAACAACTTGGCACGTGGTGCAAGAACCCCATCGGGCGTCATTTGTGGCGTTGGAATGTCAGTTTTACGGCTGGGTGAGAGTACCGTTTTCACAAGAGAAATCTCGCCTCCTCTTTCTGTGCCACCGACAGTCGCCTTCAAACGAGCCATTTCGCAAAGGACCTGAGAGCGCCATTTCCGGAGCAGCGTTCCGGAGAGGCTCGGTTCTGCCCCACCGTTAACAACACCTCTTCCGTGTTGCCTTCTCAACCAGCTAGTTTTCATCCGTTTCGAATACATCACCCCGGACTCAGCCCAGGTGATCTAACTGCTTCCGAATCGGAGAAGAAGCCGGAATAGAAAGATAGAAATATTGGTTTATCCAGGGAAGGGAGTTCCATACGAACACGGCCATTTTGGAACTGGAAATGTTCTAATGAAACCCTGGCAGTGGGTCAGTCTTTTTTGACAGCATCTTGGAAAACTGCAAGGCAGAAAGCCGGCGCAGCCGTTCCTTCTGGGTAACCGGGAATAAATGGTCAACTGTTGTAGGAAACGCCGCTTCCGTTTGGAAATACAACCGCTCAGCTCCAGAAGAAACGACGCACGCTTTCTGACGCAGGGAGCTTGGGAGGTCTTATTTCCCTCCGTACATCCGCTCGATGTCAGTGAGGTAATGGTTCTTCAGCTCCTTCCTTTTCAGTTTGAAAGCATCGGTGACTAGGCCTGTCTCGGGAGTCCAGGGCTCCGGACTCAGACGCACTTTGATGGGCACTTCAAATCTTTCCAGCTTCACTGAAAAAAGCAACGGGAGGGTGAGGAGTGGAGGAGAAGAAAACAGAGATCAGAATTGGCAGATGGACACAACCTACAAACGTCATTCGTTTATACGTGAATGCAGCAAGCCTGGGGTTTTTTTTTCCTGTTCAAAAAGGGTTTTTTTAGCCACAAAGAAGAGGGGGGGGGGTGTCAACCTATTCTCCAAAGCACCTGAAGGCAGGACAAGAAGCAATGAAGGGAAACTAATCAAGGAGAGAAGCGATCTTGAACCACGGGAGAAATTTTCAAACGGTGAGATCAACGAACCAACGGAACAACCTGCCTCCAGAAGTTGTGAATGCTCCAACACTGGAGGTTTTTAAGAAGAGTTTGGACAACCAATTGTTCTGAGCAGGGGGGCTGGACTAGAAGACCTCCAAGGTCCCTTCCAACTCTGTTCTTCTAGTCTAATTTGACAGGATCAGTTCTGCAGGACTCCTACTGGCTAGAGACCATCCAGATCTTCCTTGAAAAGGCCAACTTAAAACCTCCAGAATTCAGAACGCCATGATTACTTTTCATTGCCAGATGGGCAGGGAGAGTGAGCCACTGAGACCTACACTCTGAAGAGCTTAGATCTTTTTTTAATAAACTTTTATAATCAATTTTTTTATTACGTGTTTTTATTCAGCATTAGGCTATAGTCAATGTATTTTTATTGTCAGGTCAGTATGATTCAGTTTTTCTAAAACTAGCTAATTTTTTTATACTGTAAAACTAAGCAGACCTTGGTCATCCATTGATTACATCTTAATGGTAATATATTGCTATGTCTTCTTGTGTTGGTTCTGTTTAGTTTTGTTTTATCTGAATGTTTAATTTGTGTCAGCCTTCGGCTGTAATAATAATAATAATAAATTGAATGGAACTCTGAAGAGTCTCGCTTAGAGACTCCCCAACTTACAACCATTTGTTTAGTGCAGGGGTAGGCAACCTTGGCTCTTTTATGACTCGGGGACTTCAACTCCCAGAATTCCTGAGCCAGCATGGCTCAGCTTGGAAATCTCTCCCTTTTTCCTCAGCACGGCTGGCTCAGGAATTCTGGGAGTTGAAGTCCACGAGTCATAAAAGAGCCAAGGTTGCCTACCTCTGGTTTAGTGTCTGCTCGAAGTTATGATGGTGACTTATGACTTTGGTCCTCACACTTCCGAACATCACGGTATCCCTGTGGTCCCATGATCGCCATTCAGGCATTTGGCTACCATCATACCCTTACGACAGCTGCAATATCCCGAGGTCACGTGATCACCGTTTGCAAGCAAAGCCAATGGGGAAGGCAGTAGGGAAGGTCTCATCCGCGCGATATCTTGCTTCGTGTTCACAGAAAAAAGGTCCTAAAATTGGGTGGGGGTCATGCGATGCCTCACCTAACAACTGCACTACTCAATGACAAAAAAATGGTCCCTACTGTAGTTGTAAGGTGAGGAGTACCTGCATTTCTAGGCACGCTTCCTCCACTACTGCAGCCTACTGGACGTCTTCTAGCCAGAAAACATTTCAAATAAAGATATAAGGCAGGGGTCCTCAAACTTGGCCACTTTAAGACTTGTGGACTTCAAACAAGTCATGGGCGGGCAGGCGGGCTGGCTGGGGAATTCTGGGAGTTGAAGTCCACAAGTCTTAAAGTGGCCAGGTTTGAGGACCCCTGATAGAAGGCTATTTGTATGCCTGGCAGAGATGTTACACCAAAGCAACATGCAGGCTCCGGATCAAGTGAGCGCTGATGACGTCACCTAGTTTGGGTAATGAAAGGTCTGCAGGAAAACAGCCCAGCTTGGAGAGCACGGAGGACCACCTCACACTTCATAGCTAAATACAGGCAGTCCTTGACTTACAGCCACGATGGAGCCCAACATTTCTGTTGCTAAGTGAGACAGTTGTCAAATGAATTGGGCCCCGTTTTTACGATCTTTCTTGCCACAGTTGTTAAGGGGATCACTCGGTGTTTGTTAAGTTGGCAACACGCTTGTTAGTGTGAATCTGGCTTCCTCACTGACTTTGCTTGTCGGAAGGGGATCCTGTGATCTTGGGACCCTGCAACCGTCATAAATGTGAGTCAGTTGCCCAGCCTCTGAATTTTGATCACGTGACCCTGGGGAGGCTGCAACAATTGTGTGAAAAACAGGCATAAATCACTTTTTCCCAATGATGTCGTCACCTTGAACAGTTGCTCATTGAGGACTACCTGCATGTTAATAAAAGACCCTGTGCTCTCAAGTCTTTTCCCAAGAGGACTCTTCCCGATGGCCAGCAGATGGCAGGACAAGAACAAATGTAGCTTCACAAGACCATTTCCTATCCGGAAAACACTTCCCTGAATCTGCTCTGGGTTGCCTGCCTTTGAGTCCTCAATACATGGCAAATATTTCCTTAATACTTGGGGGGGGGGGGGGGCTTAAATAGGTCAGAATCTTTTTTTGCGTTATTGAAAAAAAATCTGACGTTTTCTGATAGTCTCATCTCCTTTCCGTTCAGAGTTCCAGGCTTTATATGGAGGTCACGTATGAAGAAGCTCAGCTAGCTTACTGGATGAAGCTAAGGTACATAGCTTAATAATAATAATAAAGTTGGAAGAGACTTTGGAGGTCATCGAGTCCAACCCCCTGCTCAGGCAGGAAACCCTATACCATTTCGGACAAATGGCTGTCCGGTCTCTTCTTAAAAACCTCCAGTGTTGGAGCATTCACAGCTTCTGGAGGCAGGTTGTTCCACTGGTTAATTGTTCTAACTTCTCCTTAGTTCTAGGTTGCTTCTCTCCTTGATTAGTTTCCATCCATTGTTTCTTGTCCTGCCTTCAGGTGCTTTGGAGAATAGCTTGACTCCCTCTTCTTTGTGGCAGCCCCATAGATATTGGAACACTGCTATCATGTCAGGCCCAGATGCTACAGCAGTGTTTCCCAAACTTGACTACTCCTAAGATGTGGGGGGACACTTCAGCTCCCTAGATTCCCAGCCAGCTTGGCAATTCTGAGGTTGAGAAACGTCGTGCTATGGCCTACCGTCCCATACAAAGCAGGCTGGGCCATGCGCAGTTAATCTTTTCAAAGACCATCACAAGAGGGCCTATCCTGCTTTCTAAGGGAAATGGAACGATGGAGCGACAGGGGACCGATGTGGTATGTAAGAACCAAGATCCTGTTTTTTTCTCCCTCTTCATTTGGGGATCAGGAGAAGACTTGCTTTGGTCGTAAAATTATACTGAAACTGTTTTAGGGCTTCTCGTTGAGTTTTTATGGGTCTCCTACTTCAAAGCAACAAGGCTCTACCCCGTCAATTTTAGCAACAGCAGTAGTGGCAAAAGGAGAGGCGGTTGGAAATTGCACAGGGGAGTCATAGCTTTATCTCTCTTACAAATTACAAGTAGCAAGAAGCACAGCCTGATTGTCCCCCTTGAAAGAGTAATTAGATACATGTTTGGAATTAGAATTGTTAGTCATTTGTCAGGCCACACATGCAAAGTATGAACTAACTACTTCATTATGTTCTGCCTATAATACAGGAATCTCCCCAGTCTAGCAGCCTTTTCTTGGAGACAATTAGATAAGACTGCAAGGAATTCAGGGAGGGTTGGTTTTACTGTTGCCGAAGAGAAGGACGAGGGGGGACATGATGGCAGTGTTCCAATATCTCAGGGGCTGCCATAAAGAAGAGGGGGTCAAGCTATTTTCCAAGGTGCCTGAAGGCAGGACAGGAAGCAATGGATGGAAACTAATCAAGGAGAGAAGCAACCTGGAACTAAGAAAAAATTTCCTGGCAGTTATAACAATTAACCAGTGGAACAACCTGCCTCCAGGAGCGGTGAATGCCCCAACACTGGAAGTTTTTAAGAAGAGACCGGACAGCCATTTGTCTGAAATGGTATAGGGTTTCCTACCTGAGCAGGGGGTTGGACTAGATGACCTCCAAGGTCCCTTCCAACTTTATTATTACTATTATTATTACTACTACTACTACTACTACTACTATTATTATTATTATTATTATTATTATTATTATTATTATTATTATTATTATTATTATTATTATTATTATTATTATTATTATTCTAGACTAGCTCCAATTGATCCCCCCTCCCTGCCAGGCTTGGCTGCTTCCCAACGTCAATTCCACTTGGTTTGCAATTTTTAAAATCGCTTGCTTTTCCAGACAACATAAGAGTGGAAATACAGCTGTTGTTCACATCCGGCGCTTCTAATCTAACCATACCGTTCTTGGCTCAACACTGTGTACACAAAATGCTTGTGTTGATTAACAAAATGAATCAACATTTTCATGTAGCTTAAAGGAAAGTAAACTGCAGTAGGATGAGACTTGATAGAACAGTCTTGTGCAAGAACAATTTCCGAAACTGAAGTGGGCTAAATAAATATAGACTGATTTCTATGTCTCCATCTTTGGGAAGTAAGAAATTTTGAAAATGGATGAGAAAGTAGTCTGGGCAGTGGAATTATAAAATTTTGAATTTTCTTATTTGGGTGTCCTCAGGGGATAATTGACATGGGTTGTAGTGTTTTGGTACACACTCTGTGATATAGGTACGGGAGGCCTTCATATAAGGTGTACTGACATGATGTCACTGCTCATGGGAACGCAATCTCAGTTTGCTGCAGATATCCATGATTTCATTGAACTTTCCCTATTTTTAAAGGGAAAAGGAATGGAGCAGGACTTTTGGAATGACAGCTATCACCACGTGGTCAAAACCCACCCAGGATGAAACTTTGATCAAGTGCCTTCAGCCACCTTTTTGACAATTATTCTTGCCTTACAGATACTCTTAGGGAGACTGAAAAAGGGGAAAAATGCAGTGAAAGGGAACTGACTTGCAAAAGCTCTTAACAATTTCTGCTATCATTAGTAAGATACTGCATGATACTCGCGCAGAGTATCTGCTGCAGATAAGATTATGAGTTGCAACTACTCTACGGTTCAAAAAAGCATCTTCATTTGCTTACTTTTGTTAGCCATGTCTTTAATCTCTTTCAGAACTTCTGATTCCATGACAGGATTGTTACAGATGTTGTTCCAGCTGTCAGACATACCCCTCTGTTCAGCAAGTGCCGTTAGTTTCTTCTGATTGGGAACCACAAAACTGATAACATAAGACTGGTTGCTAGATTGAAACACAAGAAAACACTATTTAGTTTTTAGTGACATTTGGACTAAGCCAAATGTTTTACCCTGAACATTACTCTAGCCCAACCTTTTTCAACTGGGGTTCTGTGAGAAATTGTGTTTGGGAGAAGAAGAAAAAAATATTTTTTTTGAACTTCACATGCTATGTAATGCTAGTTGTAGAAGTAACTTTTATGCAGAGGTTCCCAGAGACCTGAAAATTATTTCAATTTATTTCCTTCAAAACAAAAAGAGAAATTGAGAAAGGTTGCTCCAACCATGTTCTCACAGTGGCCAACCTACTGCCCCTCCCCCCAAGTCTCCCAGCAGGTGGATTTCAGAAGTTGATCCCCGGGACTTCCATAAAACCAGCCAAGCCGATAGCCAGCACCACATTATGGTTACTCATCAGCTCTGTATGTGTTTGTGGATAGATAGATAGATAGATATAGATAGATAGATAGATAGATAGATAGATAGATAGATAGATAGATAGATAGATAGATAGATAGATAGATAGATAGATAGATAGATAGATAGAGATAGATAGATAGATAGATATAGATAGATAGATAGATAGATAGATGATAGATAGATAGATGATAGATAGATAGATAGATAGATGATAGATAGATAGATAGATGATAGATAGATAGATAGATAGATGATAGATAGATAGATAGATAGATAGATAGATAGGATAGATGGATGGACGGACAGAGACAGACAATAAAAGGTGAGAAGAAACCAAAATAATACTTTTGCACTTGTGCAGTGTGTGAATATTTAAGCCTAGAAGGATTGCAGCCACATGTGCCTCTCTCTGTGACCCTCAAAGGGTTTCTGAATGAAATGCCAAGCATCCTTTACTATGGCTGGATTACTGAGGTGCAGCTCGCAGTTCAGCACCATCTGAAGNAAAGTAAGTTCTGTGCATATGGGCAGATTAAACTTTCGTTAAGTTTTCAATCAAAATATCTTTCTACATCAGAGTTTCACCCCCATCTGAATGAGCTTGTTTGGCAGGGGGGAAAAACTCCTAGAGCATTTGTTGTTTCTGTAAATTAAGGGTTTGTGTTTGTGCTCTTAAGAGGCGTTTTTCTGGGCCCATGACTATACTTGCTGTTTAACCAAACTGTTTTGAATGTTTCTATTTTCAGTCAATAGGAGGGGATAAGCATGCCCAGAAGCTATGTGAAAAATATTCCCCACGGCTTAAAAACGGGTCCACACGCACAGCGGATTCTGATCAGGCAGTTAAGAATAACCAGGATTTAATAATCGGTTGTTGCTCTAGAAACTGGCTCACCGGCACGTATACCTGGCAAAATGAAAAATTTCCCCAACTTGCGCTTTAAAATCGTCGTGTATTGGACATCGTATACAAAACTCCTTCATTCTCCAAACAATATCCAATTATTTTTCTTTCTTTTTTTTTTAACCATAATATACACATTAAAGTATAACGAATAAAAGAAAATCTATTTTATAAATACTTTGGAGCCACCAAAAGGTTAACACAATGCAACCGAGAGCCACAATCTGTACAAAAATGGAAGCCACATACAGAAACGGATCAAAAGTGCACAGGAGAACAGCATCCCATCGTTGCCACGTTCTTCTCGGGTTTTTTGTTTCAAGTGTGAACTACTAGAAGCCCAGTGCACAAAAGACAAACTGTGGAATAATGCACACACCAATGCAGAGGAGACTGCTGCTCCCTCCCACCCTCTGTACATCGAGAATTTCCAGTTTTTAAATAAAAAATAGCAGACAAAAAGTTTCCCCTTTGCGAGCACTTTAAAACACAAAAGTTCCCGAGGCCACGTCCATCACTCGCATAGAAGAGAAATTCGTTTTAAGATGTTGTTTTATGTGATATAGTCAAAACATAAATTAAAATGCCCTTTTAAAATAAAACAACAACAACCAACAATAACCAAATATTTTATCTGTGGTGTGGGTGTGCTTAGAGGAAGCGGCGCATATATTCCAAAAAGCACGACACACTCTGCAAAAGCAGACAGGACGCAGACTAGCCACAGGACTTGTTTTGTTCCACCGATGTATATATTTTTTTTAAAGGTAGTGAGTGCAAATAGATAAATGATGGCAAAAAAGGCCGGCTTAATCGTTGACAGTAATGCCGGCGTTCTTCGTACAAGCCAAACTGATGCTAGACCTGGCCAAAGTCTTGTCTTCTTCCAAAAGACGGCTTGAAATGTTTTGATTGGAATGTCTTAATTTACTTCTGCTCAGCTGTGAGGATAATTTCTTTCTTTTTCTTTTTTTTTAGGCACTCTAAATCTTTAATACTACCAGCCATCTCTTTCCTCTTTCCTTGTGGAACACAACAATTTGAGAGAGAAAAAAGATAAATAAATATGAAGAGAATCCGTCCGGGCTCATCAAGTGGCAGTGAAAGCGGGGTTTTTTTCCCTTCTTCTTTTTAATGCAGCAGCAAATGTGACTTCTACAAGTACCAGGGATATCCTCTTGAGCAGTGGAAACTACGGCCAACGGCGCCTTTTTGTGGAATGAGCAATAAAAAAAAATAAAAATCAGAAAATGCAGGAATAATTTCATGGCAGAGACGGGCGGGACGGTGCCGCTGAGCACTGAACTGCGGAAAAGGAAGGAACAACTTGGCACGTGGTGCAAGAACACCATCGGGCGTCATTTGTGGCGTTGGAAGGTCAGTTTTACGGCTGGGTGAGGGTACCGTTTTCACAAGAGAAATCTCGCCTCCTCTTTCTGTGCCACCAACGACAGTCGCCTTCAAACGAGCCATTTCGCAAAGGACCTGAGAGCGCCATTTCCGGAGCAGCGTTCCGGAGAGGCTCGGTTCTGCCCCACCGTTAACAACACCTCTTCCGTGTTGCCTTCTCAACCAGCTAGTTTTCATCCGTTTCGAAAACATCACCCCGGACTCAGCCCAGGTGATCTAACTGCTTCCGAATCGGAGAAGAAGCCGGAATAGAAAGATAGAAATATTGGTTTATCCAGGGAAGGGAGTTCCATACGAACACGGCCATTTTGGAACTGGAAATGTTCTAATGAAACCCTGGCAGTGGGTCAGTCTTTTTTGACAGCATCTTGGAAAACTGCAAGGCAGAAAGCCGGCGCAGCCGTTCCTTCTGGGTAACCGGGAATAAATGGTCAACTGTTGTAGGAAACGCCGCTTCCGTTTGGAAATACAACCGCTCAGCTCCAGAAGAAACGACGCACGCTTTCTGACGCAGGGAGCTTGGGAGGTCTTATTTCCCTCCATACATCCGCTCGATGTCAGTGAGGTAATGGTTCTTCAGCTCCTTCCTTTTCAGTTTGAAAGCATCGGTGACTAGGCCTGTCTCGGGAGTCCAGGGCTCCGGACTCAGACGCACTTTGATGGGCACTTCAAATCTTTCCAGCTTCACTGAAAAAAGCAACGGGAGGGTGAGGGGTGGAGGAGAAGAAAACAGAGATCAGAATTGACAGATGGACACAACCTACAAACGTCATTCGTTTATACGTGAATGCAGCAAGCCTGGGGTTTTTTTTTCCTGTTCAAAAAGGGTTTTTTTAGCCACAAAGAAGAGGGGGGGGGTGTCAACCTATTCTCCAAAGAACCTGAAGGCAGGACAAGAAGCAATGAAGGGAAACTAATCAAGGAGAGAAGCGATCTTGAACCACGGGAGAAATTTTCAAACGGTGAGATCAACGAACCAACGGAACAACCTGCCTCCAGAAGTTGTGAATGCTCCAACACTGGAGGTTTTTAAGAAGAGTTTGGACAACCAATTGTTCTGAGCAGGGGGGCTGGACTAGAAGAGCTCCAAGGTCCCTTCCAACTCTGTTCTTCTAGTCTAATTTGACAGGAGCAGTTCTGCAGGATTCCTACTGGCTAGAGACCATCCAGATCTCCCTTGAAAAGGCCGACTTAAAACCTCCAGAATCCAGAACTCTATGATTACCTTTCACTGCCAGATGGGCAGGGAGAGTGAGCCACTGAGACCTAAACTCTGAAGAGTCTCGCTTTTCTGCTACAGGGACTCAACTTACAACCATTCGTTTAGTGACTGCTTGAAGTTACGATGGCGACTTATGACTTGGTCCTCACACTTCCAACCATCGCAGCATCCCCATTCAGGCGTTTGGCAACTATCATGCCCTTACGACAGCTGCAACATCCCGAGGCCACGTGATCACCGTTTGCAAGCAAAGCCAATGGGGAAGGCAGTAGGGAAGGTCTCAGCCGAGCGATATCTCGCTTCGTGTTCACAGAAAAAAGGTTCTAAAATTGGGTGGGGGTCATGTGATGCCTCACTTAACGACTGCGCCACTCAATGACAAAAAAAAAAAAGGTCCCTACTGTAGTCGTAAGGTGAGGAGTACCTGCATTTCTAGGCACGCTTCCTCCACTACTGCAGCCTACTGGACGTCTTCCAGCCAGAAAACATTTCAAATAAAGATATAAGGCAGGGGTCCTCAAACTTGGCCACTTTAAGACTTGTGGACTTCAAACAAGTCATGGGCGGGCGGGCTGGCTGGCTGGCTGGGGAATTCTGGGAGTTGAAGTCCACAAGTCTTAAAGTGGCCAAGTTTGAGGACCCCTGATAGAAGGCTATTTGCGTGCCTGGCACAGATGTTACACCAAAGCAACATGCAGGCTCCGGATCAAGTGAGCGCTGATGACGTCACCTAGTTTGGGTAATGAAAGGTCTGCAGGAAAACAGCCCAGCTTGGAAAGCACTGAGGACCCCCTCACACTTCATAGCTAAATACAGGCAGTCCTCGACTTACAGCCACGATGGAGCCCAGCATTTCTGTTGCTAAGTGAGACAGTTGTCAAACGAATTGGGCCCCGTTTTACGATCTTTCTTGCCACAGTTGTTAAGGGGATCACTCGGCGGTTGTTAAGTTGGCAACATGCTTGTTAGTGTGAATCTGGCTTCCTCACTGACTTTGCTTGTCGGAAGGGGATCCCGTGATCCTGGGACCCTGCAACCATCATAAATGTGAGTCAGTTGCCCAGCCTCTGAATTTTGATCACGTGACCCTGGGGAGGCTGCAACGGTTGTGTAAAAAACAGGCATAAATCACTTTTTCCCAATGACGTCGTCACCTTGAACAGTTGCTCATTGAGGACTACCTGCATGTTAATAAGAGACCCTGTGCTCTCAAGTCTTTTCCCAAGAGGACTCTTCCCGATGGCCAGCAGATGGCAGGACAAGAACAAATGTAGCTTCACAAGACCGTTTCCTATCGGAAAACACTTCCCTGAATCTGCTCTGGGTTGCCTGCCTTTGAGTCCTCAATACATGGCAAATATTTCCTTAATACTTGGGGAGGGGGCGAGGGCTTAAATTGGTCAGAATCTTTTTTTTTATATTATTGAAAATAAATCTGACGTTTTCTGATAGTCTCATCTCCTTTCCGTTCACAGTTCCAGGCTTTATACAGAGGTCACGTATGAAGCTCAGCTAGCTTGCTGAATGAAGCTAAGGTACACAGCTTAATAATAATAATAATAAAGTTGGAAGGGACTTTGGAGGTCATCTAGTCCAACCCCCCGCTCAGGCAGGAAATCCTATACCATTTCGGACAAATGGCTGTCCAGCCTCTTCTTAAAGACTTCCAGTGTTGGAGCATTCAGAGCTTCTGGAGGCAGGTTGTTCCACTGGTTAATTGTTCTAACTGTCAGGAAGTTTCTCCTTAGTTCTAGGTTGCTTCTCTCCTTGATCAGTTTCCATCCGTTGCTTCTTGTCCTGCCTTCAGGCGCTTTGGAGAATAGGTTGACTGCCTCTTCTTTGTGGCAGCCCCTGAGATATTGGAACACTGCTATCATGTCAGGCCCAGATGCTACAGCAGTGTTTCCCAAACTTGACTACTCCTAAGATGTGGGGGGACACTACAGCTCCCTAGATTCCCAGCCAGCTTGGCAATTCTGAGGCCGAGAAACGCCGTGCTATGGCCTACCGTCCCATACAAAGCAGGTTGGGCCATGTGCAGTTTAATCTTTTCAAAGGCCATCACAAGAGGGCCTGTCCTGCTTTCTAAGGGAAATGGAACGCTGGAGCGACAGGGGACCGATGTGGTATGTAAGAGCCAAGATCCTGTGCATTGAACCTGTGGTTTTTTTCTCCTCTTCATTTGGGGATCAGGAGAAGACTTGCTTTGTTCTTAAAATTATACTGAAACTGTTTTAGGGCTTCTCGTTGAGTTTTTATGGGTCTCCTACTTCAAAGCAACAAGGCTCTACCCCGTCAATTTTAGCAACAGCAGTAGTGGCAAAAGGAGGCGGTTGGAAATTGCACAGGGGAGTCATAGCTTTATCTCTCTTATAAATTACAAGTAGCAAGAAGCACGGCCTGATTATCCCCCTTGAAAGAGTAATTAGATACATGTTTGGAATTAGAATTGTTAGTCATTTCTCAGGCGACACATGCAAAGTATGAACTAACTACTTCATTATGTTCTGCCTATAATACAGGAATCTCCCCAGTCTAGCAGCCTTTTCTTGGAGACAATTAGATAAGACTGCAAGGAATTCAGGGAGGGTTGGTTTTACTGTTGCCGAAGAGAAGGACGAGGGGGGACATGATGGCAGTGTTCCAATATCTCAGGGGCTGCCCCAAAGAAGAGGGAGTCAAGCTATTCTCCAAGGCGCCTGAGCAACGGATGGAAACTGATCAAGGAGAGAAGCAACCTAGAACTAAGGAGAAACTTCCTGACAGTTAGAACAATTAACCAGTGGAACAACCTGCCTCCAGAAGCGGTGAATGCTCCAACACTGGAAGTTTTTAAGAAGAGACTGGACAGCCATTTGTCCGAAATGGTGTAGGGTTTCCTGCCTGAGCAGGGGGTTGGACTAGATGGCCTCCAAGGTCCCTTCCAACTTTATTATTACTATTATTATTATTACTATTATTATTATTACTATTATTATTATTATTACTATTATTATTATTATTACTATTACTATTATTACTATTATTACTATTATTACTATTATTATTATTATTATTCTAGACTAGCTCCAATTGATTCCCCCCTCCCTGCCAGGCTTGGCTGCTTCCCAACTTCAATTCCACTTGGTTTGCAATTTTTAAAATCGCTCGCTTTTCCAGACAACATAAGAGTGGAATACAGCTGTTGTTCACATCCGGCGCTTCTAATCTAACCATACCGTTCTTGGCTCAACACTGTGTACACAAAATGCTTGTGTTGATTAACAAAATTAATCAACATTTTCATGTGGCTTAAAGGAAAGTAAACTGCAGTAGGATGAGACTTGATAGAACAGTCTTGTGCAAGAACAATTTCCGAAACTGAAGTGGGCTAAATAAATACAGACTGATTTCTATGTCTCCATCTTTGGGAAGCAAGAAATTTTGAAAATGGTCGAGAAAGTAGGCTGGGCAGTGGAATTATAAAATTTTGAATTCTTTTATTTGGGTGTCCTCAGGGGATAATTGACATGGGTTGTAGTGTTTTGGTACACACTCTGTGATATAGGTATGGGAGGCTTTCATATAAGGTGTATTGACATGATGTCACTGCTCATGGGAATGCAATCTCAGTTTGCTGCAGATATCCATGATTCCATTGAACTTTCCCTATTTTTAAAGGGAAAAGGAATGGAGCAGGACTTTTGGAATGACAGTTAACACCACGTGGTCAAAACCCACCCAGGATGAAACTTTGATCAAGTGCCTTCAGCCACCTTTTTGACAATTATTCTTGCCTTACAGATACTCTTAGGGAGACTGAAAAAAGGGGGGGGAAATGCAGTGAAAGGGAACTGGCTTGCAAAAGCTCTTAACCATTTCTGCTATCATTAGTAAGATACTGCATGATACTTGAGCAGAGTATCTGTTGCAGATAAGATTGTGAGTTGCAACTACTCTACCGGTTCAAAAAAGCATCTTCATTTGCTTACTTTTGTTAGCCATGTCTTTAATCTCTTTCAGAACTTCTGATTCCATGACAGGATTGTTACAGATGTTGTTCCAGCTGTCAGACATACCCCTCTGTTCAGCAAGTGCCGTTAGTTTCTTCTGATTGGGAACCACAAAACTGATAACATAAGACTGGTTGCTAGATTGAAACACAAGAAAACACTATTTAGTTTTTAGTGACATTTGGACTAAGCCAAATATTTTACCCTGAACATTACTCTAGCCCAACCTTTTTCAACTGGGGTTCTGTGAGAAATTGTGTTTGGGAGAAGAAGAAAAAAAAATTTTTTTGAACTTCACATGCTATGTAATGCTAGTTGTAGAAGTAACTTTTATGCAGAGGTTCCCAGAGACCTGAAAATTATTTCAATTTATTTCCTTCAAAACAAAAACAGAAACTGAGAAAGGTTGCTCCAACCATGTTCTCACAGTGGCCAACCTACTGCCCCTCCCCCCAAGTCTCCCAGCAGGTGGATTTCAGAAGTTGATCCCCGGGACTTCCATAAAACCAGCCAAGCCGATAGCCAGCACCACATTATGGTTACTCATCAGCTCTGTTATGTGTTTGTGGATGGATAGATAGATAGATAGATAGGTAGGTAGGTAGGTAGGTAGGTAGGTAGGTAGGTAGATAGATAGATAGATAGGATAGACGGACGGAGACAGACAATAAAAGGTGAGAAGAAACCAAAATAATACTTTTGCACTTGTGCAGTGTGTGAATATTTAAGCCTAGAAGGATTGCAGCCACATGTGCCTCTCTCTGTGACCCTCAAAGGGTTTCTGAATGAAATGCCAAGCATCCTTTACTATGGCTGGATTACTGAGGTGCAGCTCGCAGTTCAGCACCATCTGAAG